ATTCAAAACAGCTTTTGCCATTGTAGTAAATTCCCATTCATAGCAAACATATGAGAGTGGAGTGGCATATCTAAAATCTAAGGAGGAGAATGGGGTTCCTCTTATGGTTCTACAAAGCACCATTTGACAAAGGTGCTGTATAGCACCTTTAAAGATAGATGCTATATAGCACTTAAAGTGGTTCCCCTATGATTACAAGCCAATGAACCACTTTTAGTGCACCATTTTTGTTTAGAGTCTAATATAGACAATAGAATAGAGAAAGAGAGAGAGAGAGAGATCAGTGACTGGAAAGCAGTTGTGAATGGTGTCAAGTTAATCACTAAACTTTCACAGTTTGCTTTATGCAACAAAAACATTTGTAAAGAATAAAATTATTTTGTTTTTTTGTAGACTAGGCCTACTTCCGTGTTAGGTTTCCGAAACGAAAGTGTGACATTGTCACGAATCTGGTCCGTGGCCTTCCGGCCGATTGCCACTAGAGGTCATTCTACCATTACATTGACTCTCACACTACACAGACTGTTACATGTCACTCCGGTTTGTCGGTGGTACAATCGGAAAAAAGTCTGTAAGTGTCCAATATATTTTATTAATAGGAAGGAACTTTCTGTAATGAGGTGTTTATTTTGAATTACACATTGCATTGTGCTGTATTTTGGGGTTAAAGGAAAATGTCTGTAAACTTAATGGAAAATTACCAGTACCTTTTCCAGTTTTCTACTGGTTTTTTTTAAATTTTCTTACAGTGTAGGAGTTTCCCAGGTGCACTCGAAGCAGCATAAGTCATGATGAATGTTGCATGCGCCTCTGTATTTACTTTACACACAATACTTTTTTTGCTCTGTTAATCAAATTCAGGCCTCTCTTCTTTATAGAATTTGACTGTTCCAATATCATTACAGAGAAATTTTTCCAGTTTACAGAATTAATCAAATAATAGAAATAGAACAATACAAATTGAAAGGATCTACTGCTGGGTGCATTTCTGGCTGAGAGAATCCAAACACAAAGGTTAACTCAGTGACCAGTTCCTCAATATGATTAGCTCAGTGACCAACAGCTTTTTATTATTTTAGTAATGGAAACACACTTGAAGTACCAAGGACTTCAGTGAATTTAATTTCTCCTCAGGGGAAGAGAAGCAAATGACTCAGCAGATCATTTGACATCTTTGACTACCTAAAGCTATTTCCCGTCAGTAAGTCTCATATCTTCTCTTCCCCATGTCTCTCTCTATCTCTTACTTAAAAACACACATGCTCTACTGTCTGCAGACAGCAAATAGAGAGAGACAGAGATGATGGTAGAGAGAAGGAAGGATAGGGAGAGGGTGCTTCAGGTGATTTCCTGTATGTTAAGGCTACCTGGTGAGAGAGCGGTTCTGCTGGGTAAGTCTATACAGATTTGCCATCTGCTAAATTATAATTTATTCTGCTCCTCTCTTACGGCTCTAATGTTATTTTCCTGAATCTTGTTTCTCACAGTTAATGTTCCTACTCCCCCCTCACCTCGCAATATTTGCCTCTGCTTTTTCAATTACCAAGCCTTTCTGGTCTTTTTTGTCTTTTTTTCAAACCATTCTTGTTCCTTTTTTACATTTTTTCCTCCAACAATCTATCAGAGCTTTAATCGGTTACATTTCATAATTAAGCCCAGATTCCTTTGTGAATATGAATGACAAAATACCTTTAAGAATGAATTCAGACTGGTTTATCCCTAAGCAGTAAAACAAAACTAGCAAGCTAGAGTCTAATATAATTAAAATCATGATGCCTATCTCCAATATCCTTAAGAATAAGATCATGCATGGTCCTACAGCTTTAAACTTTGGAATTGTTTTGCACCCCTGAAAACAGACTTTAGTAAAACTCCTCCAAAATGAGACTCATTGATTCTTCCACTTTCAGTATCACCAATGCTAGTGGACAAGTCTGTGAAATTAGGACAGTGCTAATTACTTTTACAGACACACAAGACATAAAACTGATGATGATGTTTTATTTATTGAGGTTGACTGGTGCACTGCCTCATCAGCTTTGAAATCTCTTTTCTCATTTTTTGATTGCACATTTCCAACAGTCAAAATTAAGATCCATCAGTCGGATCATAAATGCACTAGTAAATATCTAAGTTCAGCAAAATTTTGAAAAAAAGGACTGAATATTGAAAATGTTATCTGAACATTAAATGTTTTCTATGCCTCTGATACTGCATACACATTCAGAAGTCAGTGTTTAGGTTTCATCATCTGTTCAATGGTATGTTTTTACACTACATAGGACACAACATGCATTGGTCTTAGATTGAGATGATATTAATCAGTCCCTGAGTTGAGAGCATGAGTTAAAATGCATGGATAGCTTGATTTTCCCTTGAGTCCCTGCCACAGATTCATTAAAAAAAGACACTGAATGAAAAGGCCACTCTGGTCTCCAGCATTACCCTTGTTACGACCATTTAAATTTGCTCTTTTCAAGTGAAAGTTTTTAATTGCTATGCTTATTTGAGGTATTATGCTGAAAAAGTATGTGAAAAATCAACCCATGTGATATAAATTATTTTCAACATGTTTTGGTATATAAACGTTTGCATATGAGTAAAGCTGTTGTCTCATAGTTTTAGTATAATGTTTTCCAGTATTTAGCTGAGTCATTGTTGTGTTCTTCAAATACACAATATTGGCTGGACCAAATTGTTTGGGAGAAGAGAATAGTGAAGATGACGGTGCATGACCCGTCTACAGATCTTAAACTGACAGTTCACTCAAGAATGAACATTCTGCCATCATTTACAAACCCAATCTTCATTTGTGTTTTGCCGAATAAAGAAGTGCAAAGAAATTTAATGACATCAGAGTGAGTAAACTTTTTTTAAGTGAACTTTAATCCTATTTTCCCTTAAACTTAAAGTTCTGTCTGTGTGACAATATGCCAGAAGACAAACAATAGATACAATAGAACAGATACAGTGGATACTCTTGACAAGCTAATTCTTTTTTCTTTAAACTGTCCCTTATTCTGGTTTGTGTTCACCACAACAGAGTGCCCTTGATGTGCATTGATGTGCATGAGGCACAATCACAATGTTATAGTCGCAGTCGCACTTTTAAGTGAAGTACACATTTGGAGGCTAGTGCCTCTGTACTTTATTTTGAAGATAAATGATCGGTGTGGTGATCTATGGCATGTGAAATTATTCAGTAAGCTTACAGGATATATTACATGTTACCAAATTGTTATCACTAATGCCAAAGCATTACATTTACATTTAGACATTTAGCAGACGCTTTCATCCAAAGCGACTTACAAATGAGGACAATGGAAGCAATCAAAATCAACAAAAGAGCAATGATAAGCAAGTGCTATAACAAGTCTCAGTTAGCTTAATGCAGTACACTGAGCAAGTTTTTTTTTAAATCATATAATAAATAAAAAGAAAACAGATAGAATAGAAAAAGAATAGAGCAAACTAGTGTTAGAGGCCTTTTTTGCTTTTGTTAATCAGAAGAAGTCAGAAAGTCAGAATTATAATTGTATAATAAATAAAAAGAAAAGAAATAGATAGAATGCAAAAAGATTAGAGAAGCAATTGCTAGTTTTTTTAAGAAAACAAGTAGTTAGTAAATAAATAGAATGCAAGTCCAAAAGGGGCAATTTAAAAAAAAAAATTTTTTTTTATAAAGAATAGAATTAGAATAGAGAGTGCTAGAGTTAGAGGGTCAAATAAAGATGGAAGAGATGTGTTTTTAGCCGATTCTTGAAGAAGATTAAGGACTCAGCTGCTCGGACTGAGTTATAATAGTATGTCCTTTTAGCAGTGGAGACATTAGCAGAGAAGGAAGAGAGGAGCGACTGATACACATACGCATTAGTTACAGGATTTCACTTAGTTTTTGAAAACATGCTTTAAATTGATTATAAATGAAACAGCAATTAGTTTGTTCAATTGACCAGGTAAAAATCACATATGGCATCAAACTGGGATGCAATGATACCTTTTTCGTGTTACATTTCATACAAAAAACATAATTTGTTATTGGATTTTCGACTGTCTTGAGTCAATGCATTGAGTAAATCGTTTCCACATGAAAAAATACCATAGTATTTTATAGTAAATATTATAGTGTTTTTGAACCATACTATAGTAAAGTACTTGAATTAATTTGTTGTGGTAATACTACAGTATTTATTACAGTTTATCAGTACAATATAGTTAATACTACAGTAGCCTAGCTTTAGCATTCATTAAAAGTGTTGTAAATACTGTAATATATACAGTATAATACACTTTACTATAGTATGGTTCAAACACACTAAAGTATTTACTATAAATTACTATAGTATTTTTTCATGTGGGGAGATATTAGAATCTCTTGCTAGTTTTTGTGTTTGACATATGAAGACCCTTTTTCGCTTCTGGCACACATTGTACGAATTTGGCCACGATTTGGCCGTCTGAGACAAATTTCTCAAATCCTAAAAGATTCCTCCGATCCTAGGCTAAAACCTGTAGTCTTTGATCGTTATTTTGACATGTTCACCGACATATGCCGCTTGGCCACTAAGATTTTATCATTTCCAGTTTAATGCGAAAACCCCGTTAGGGGAAAAAAGCTGCTGTAACTGAAATAGGCGTCAGATTGAACTAATTAAATATTAATGTAGATCATTGTGCAACAGAGCGTTAACGTGATCTGCCTCCATGTCACTGAAATATAACACAACTTTTAACAAGTGCAAGACAGGTAAAAAGTTTGAGCTTATCATCATCATGCACTCGATTTGTTATTTACAACAGCTGTAAAACTTAGCAATATTTTCAGCATTTTTAGGAGTCTCGTACTGCCAACAGCTTCACGTCCTTAATAGACTGAATATGTGATTCTTATGGCTAGAATTCTTCACCGTAAGGTATCTATTCACGCAACACCCCTCCACACGTTGGTTCGATCCACACACATGCGGTGTTGAAGCCTTGACTCAAGTGTATTGTGTGTTTTAGATGAAGACGGTTTCAGGTGGGCTGAACATTTGCGCTCGACTGTAAAAAGCGAAGCAATCCTGCACTTTTGTAGCATCTTTGTATTGCTGTTGTGATTAAGGGTGAGTAGGCTATTAAGAGCTGCAGTAGACATTTGTTGTGTGCAAAGTGTAGATAACGCTATGTTAAGTGTGCTGCATTGGCGACGTTTACCGAGATACATGCGGACTGTAATGTTGTTTATGTCCATTTCAAAATAGCCTAAGTGATTTATTGTTGTCCTGTCCTATAGGATGTAGAGCTCTGAGAAAATATTTGGGTGCCCTTGAAGTGAAGTGTAGAGACAACGTTTTTAATGCAGCACCTTTAAAGCCTTTGGGACTTAAATGTCATGATTAAAGGCAGATATCAGGAAAAAAGGAAGGAGACCGTTTCTGACCCATTGTATGCGAAAACCTTTGATTGCGCCCGTGTCCTGAAGCCAGAAGTAAACACCCGCTATTTTACGTTTTGATCTCTGAAATGTGTTGATTTGAACTTGGCAGGTTTAAAGTAGGTTGTTGCTGAATTGAGATGTTTTCAGCACACGACTGAACGGGAGCTTACAGGGGATTTTGGTGAGAGTCGCGCGCATTTTCTTAGAAATCAGCGATTGTTGTTTCAGCACCTCATTTGAGAGACGTGCTCGAATCAGAGAGTTTGTACTCATGCTGGGTCACTGATCTACTTAAAGCTCCGCTCCTGTGCACAGTATAAATATAATTTCACTGCCACAAAGAACATAAAATAGCAAGAGTAATTATGTAATTTCGTTAACAGTCGGTCCAACCATGTTTTTTTAAACAGAAAATGTCACTAACTTAACGGAAAGGGAATAATGTGACAATGAGCGAGTGATGAGATCTGATTTTTAATGCTATTATGTGGCGCATTTAAGGCATCTCTCGTTGAACTATTGTCCGTTCACAACAGCTCGCTTCAGAGTAAATCCATTGACTGAAGTTTTGACAAACAAAAGCACTATCCTATTGCACAGTAGATCAATGGCTGTCGTAATTGCCCTCATTAAGTACTTTTGGTTTATCTAGACAACACAGACCAATCATATACTGCATTTGCTTAATTTTATAGTAAAAAACTCACTAGGCAGTTTATTCTCACTTGGTTGTATTGTATTGTGTCTGTATTGTATTTGTTTAACTTTGTATTTGTACAGCTTGCCATTACTTGATCTCTTCATTTGCTCTCATATGTGATGCTAAAACACTTTTAAGTCCATGTGCTACTGGTTTAGCTGGTCCGCAGGCTGGTTTCTCAGTCAGACCAGCTCATAAAATTCCTCACAACCCCTCTAAAACGGCAAGAGGATCCACTAAAACCACCAAACCTTGTTAAAGCATGTTTAAGCTCTCTTTTCAGCAGGGTCTGGGTGTCTGTGGACATGGACAGTTCAATGCACATGATAATATCCAGTGTAACACATCCAGAAGTCAAATTGCATTGTAAAAATGTAGTCAAAATATGCTTCATGTGGTAACACCTACATTTACTGGTTTTGTTCAAGTCAGATATATTATTTAATATGAATTTTATTTAAAGTAGCATGCTCTACACTGATTGCAGAGACAACCCCCTGCAACAGCCTGTGGTTATGTGCTGTGCTTGAGAGCACAATATTGACAGCGCTGGATTGTGTTCTCTGTAACTATTCCATTCCTGCATCACCTTAATTGGAAATGAACCTGTGAACCCTTAACCATTTATCTGCAGCCACCATGGGAACCGACTTCTTGTCTTTGTAATCAGGTTGAAAAGCTAAATGTTGTTGTCAAATAAGGTTCAAAACATTTAAGTACTTAAGTAAAGTTTATGCTGGTTAAATGCTTGAGTTTAAATATTGAGCTAGAGTAACAGAATTGAACAATGTATTAAAGAGTTCCAAGAGAATGTCTTATGTATAAAAGGGGAATTCAAAGTATATTGGTATACATGTTCTCTTTTCTCTTCTATCTCTTTCTATTAGGGATAATACACTCAAATATGAATATTCTGTCATCTTTTCTGTTATACAGAACACTAAAAAGCATACAGGTTCAGAACAAAATGATGGTGAGTAAATAATGACAGAATTTTCATTTTTGAGTGGACTATCCCTTTAATTTCTTACTGTCCTTCATGGCTTTGGGCACAGGCTAATATAGGAGATGGAAGGTGAATGAGAGCAGGGAAAGATTTAAAGATGACGTGAAGAGATGCAGAGAGAAAAGGAAGATGAAAGTAGATGAAATGATAGGTAAAAAGGAAGAACATTTTCAAAAATAATGGTAGGCTATTTTAGCAAGCCACAGACAGTTTTTTTGATGTAGGCCTATATCTTAGATCTTTTCCATAAATGTCATTTTCTCCTTAGAGTGACTTTGTCATACCAATAGAGTAAACAGAGCTCAGTAGCACTGAGAGAAAATGAGCGGGAATCTGTAATCAGTGTTCCTCTGTGCTTGTGTGTGGTAATGTGCCTGTTGAGTGTGGACATTGTGTGTTTCCTCTCTGTTCCTCCTGACAGGACCGACTCCAGACTTACTGATGAGCATGCTGGGTAATGATATGCACTATGGATAATCAGAGGTACGTTAATCAACACGAAATGTCTGTTGACACCTCAGTACCGTTCTGTCAGCAATCCCATTTATTTTCTATTTTTATGCTTTGTCTCTTTTCAGCCAAAAGAATACAAGTGTGATTTTTGTGTTAGTTTAATTCTTTTCAAACAGAGGGCAAACACAGCAATCAACAGGGCAGAAAACTCAAGCCTCATTGTTGTCATCAATGATATGACAGCTTGTAATATTCCCTTCGCTGTTGTGCTGCTGGCAGGTATTTGATGTTTTGATGATTCTACCACTGAGCTCTTTTGACAAGCTTGCTGTCCTTAGTACCCCTAATCGAGTTTTGAAGGCCGACAGTGGTTACATTTTGACAACCATAAACCAGGAACTAATGAAAATCGAAGCCTTTTGACTCTATAATAATGTCTGTCTCTATGACAGCCTCTAGTACAGCTACTTTTCAGTGTGGATGGCTGTGCTTTTGGGATCTGTTTTAGTAGATTCCCGGGTCATCGCAGGTACTTGCTAGTTTTGGGTTATTTTCCCTCTATCCCCCCCACAAACTACGCCCCTGGATAGATCTTTAGCAGCTGAAATTATTGCAAGAAGGTCAATATGAAGACAGGCAGTCAGTTGAAGTCTCCTGTGTAACTTCATTGCTACAAATAATTGAACCGAATCTGTTTCACAAGCACTTAGGGCAATTACATCCAACCCAATGGAGGATTTAAAACCTCAAGGACTCCATGGACCGAATTACAGACAAATAAATAATAAAAGAGCCAATTTATTAAGCAGAGTCAAAATAATAAAGAATGAGCTTTAAATCATTTTGCCTGTCAGGTTTCTATTGTACAGCGGATTTGAGCAGCTAAAATAAGAACAAGTTCTATCATGAAAAGTCAGGATATCTGATCGCAAGCCATAACCAAGAAGAACAACTGCACAGTGGAGTGGAATGGAATAATTATTCATCAGCCCAAATGTTTTGCGTTATTATTCATTCTTGCGGTTTTATCCAATTGCAGCACAATGGAACATCAAAACAGATGAATTTGCAATTATGGAGGGGACATTCAGGGGATTGCGAAGTTAGACAAAGTTTACAGTATGCACTGTTCATGGCCAGAATGAGACCCTTCACAGTGTGCACATGCTCAGCTATGATGTGTTTACAATGTCCTGGCACAAACATGAGATGTGTATATATAGAAAAAGAAAGAAGCCCATTCCATATAGCCTAGGGCTGTTTTCTATTTCAGGTGGTGGCTGAATAAGGTGATTTTGTGGGATGAACTATGAAATTTATTTATTCCCTTTTTTCTTGTGTTATAGGGTGGAGGATGTCTTCTCACACCTTCAGATGTGTGTCCTGAGAACCCCTAAATTGCTGAAGGCTATAAACGCATGTTAATCAATGTGTGCAATCATAATGCCATAATCAGTATGGTAGCACTTTAAAACGCTTACCTTTTAGTGACCAGCATACAGAACTGTGAGCTAAAGGACAATAAGCTCACAAATTGTAGTGCCAAGAATACATGACGCCTACTCAGAAAACAAACTCTTGCAAATATTTTCAAATGAATGAACTTTAAAATATCCAATAAGAAAACCATGACTGACCTAAAGAAACCGTAAAAAAATGTATCCACTCTGGCAGTGACATTTATTTTCACCTTGTCCTCTAATGAGAGCCAGCTATCTATTTGCATACCATCACATGCTGCCATGACTCAACCCAATGTTACAGTTCTCTCGGCTAATATCTCTGGAGGATCTGAATCGGGTAATCTATACCGTCCATTTTCTGTGTTCAGTGTTCTCACACTCACTTTGCTGGCCATGCTAGTGATGGCCACCTTTGTATGGAACCTTCTGGTATTGGTGACCATCCTGAGGGTGCGCACCTTCCATCGTGTTCCCCACAATCTGGTTGCCTCCATGGCCATCTCGGATGTGATGGTTGCAGGACTGGTAATGCCCCTCAGTCTGGTCAGGGAGCTCTACAGTCGGCGTTGGATTCTGGGTCGGGCCCTATGTCAGGTCTGGATCTCCTGTGATGTGCTCTGCTGCACAGCTAGTATCTGGAATGTGACGGCCATTGCCCTAGATCGTTACTGGTCCATCACTCGCCACCTGGAGTACACGCTGAAGACACGCAAACGAATCTCCAATGTGATGATCGGCCTCACATGGCTGCTTTCCTCTGTTATCTCGCTTTCGCCACTCTTCGGTTGGGGTGAGACCTACTCGGAAGACAGCCTGGCTTGTCAAGTAAGCCAGGCGCCCTCTTACACAGTGTTCTCCACCTTTGGAGCCTTTTACCTGCCCCTCTGCGTGGTGCTCTTTGTCTACTGGAAGATTTACAAGGCTACCAAGTTCCGTATTGGCTCTCGCAAGACCAACACCATCACACCCATGGCTGAGGTCATAGAGGTAAAAAAAAAAATGTATATATATTATATAAGGCTATATACAGTGGCAAGAATAAGTTTGTGATCCCCATTTCTTCATTTACTGCTCATAAAATGTGGTCATCTTTAATTAACTATAGATAAACACAATCTGTCTAAACTAATAACACACAAATAATAGATTTTTTCACATTTTTATTGAATGCAATTCATTAATTGAATGTAACTGTTCACAGTGCAGGGTGTAGAAAGTAACCTCCACCAAACTTTTTTTGTAGCTGTTTTAGTTCAGTATACATGTTTCTGTATTTTCTTGATAGCACAGCCTTGTTTAAGTTATGCCACAGCATCGGAATTGGCTCAAGGTCAGGACTTGAGCATCTTCTTTTTTTTAAAAGCCATTCTGTAGTTGGTATTACTTGTGTGATTTGTCATTGGCTTGTAGCCTCTCTGAAGCTTGAAGTCATTAGTTGCTGTGCCATCATTCTTCTGTAAAATGTCTTGATACACTTTATAATTCATTGTTCCTTTAATGATTGCAAAGTGAGGCAACAAAGCAACATTACACCATGATGCTCCTTTCACCACGCTTTACAGTTGAGTTGAGGTTTGGAGCTCTAAACAAAATATTGTGTATTTGGCCTCAACTGTTCACAGAACATTTTCCTAGAAGCATTGTGGAACAACCAATTTGTCTTGGGTAAACATGAGACATGCCTCAATTTTTAATGGCTGCATTGGAGTGCAGTAGAGTTTTTTGAGGGTCCTTTTCGGTTAACCTTTGGGTTGTTTCTTACTCGCCTTTTTCAGGGTTGCCCATTTTGTTCTTAGAGTAATCTTCTTAGAGTCATCTTTGCAGGACACCTGCTCCTGGAGAGGGTAGCAACATCCAGAACTTTCTACATTTGTAGAAAAATTCTTATCGTGGATTCTTTTGCAATACTTTTCCTTCTTTTTGCATCTTTGTAATGTGTTTTGAAGCTATTGGGATAAAGAACATATTTGTATGTAACCAGGCTTTGTGTGCCTTTATTTAAAGGGCAGTGCACCTGTGTGATCCTTACTTCCAATCTCATCTCCTTAACTGACTCCATTTAGCTTTTGGAGAAGCCGCGACACAGTTTTTCATTTACTTTTTCCAGCATGCCCTGTCAGTGATCACACAGTATCTTCAATAAAGTGTAAAAAAAGTACAACTGGTTGTGTGTTATTAGTGTAGTCACATTGATCAGACCACATTTGATCAGCAATCAATGCAGAAATTCTGATATTTTTAAAGGGTCCTCTAATGTGTGTGTGTGTATATGTGTATATATATATATATATAATTTAATTTTTTTTTACAACTTGGTTGAGTAAATGATTCAGTGAGTCACTAATTTAAGACTGCATGCATACACTCTATGTAGGTAGTTTGTGACAATTGTTTATTTATTTATTTAATCAATTTTTGTATTTGAGACTGTTAAATAGGACCATGTAAGTTTAAGAGCCTTGATTTCATTTATTTGTTCATACAGACAGTATTCGAGTTGCTCCTGTAAGCTGTCATATGGACAGGACAATTCACACGGGATTGTCAAACCCAAAAACCCACTGTGTGAACAAGCCATATAGCTATGTTTCCATCCAAACCTATGCGCAAAACTGGAATATCGCATAAAACATTTGCGAATAAAGCACTGTTTCCATCCAACGAGTCAAAGAGAACACAATCGTCACTTCCTGATAAACTGGCACTAAATATCTCTAAGAAAACTAGGAGAAGCCACTGAATATAATAATTTTCATATGTAATAAATTACTTGCGCTTCAGAGAGAGCAGACGTAACACAATAAATGCGGTCATTGCTTTTAGAGGTGGATGCGCAGTCATGTAAGACAGTAATTATACAGAAATACTTTGACAGACTTTCCTCAGGCATTTCAGAACGACCAAAACAACATATAGATGCTGTGAACGAGATCGGTCCGCTGGTTAGTCAATTTATCCCATCTCATAGCGCAAAGTCACTTGACTTTTTCAATGCGCATGGTGGAATTTATTCAGTAAATGTGTTTCCATTGTGGTTTATGCACATCTTTTCTTATCGGATAAAAAGTGTATCCTACTCAGTTGTGCGCGTAAGGTTTTTATGCAAATTTTTAGAATTTATGCGCATCTTGGCATTTCAGTCCAGCGTTTTTTTAAAGCGATAATCCAAAATGATGGAAACATAGCTAGTGAGAGTTAGTGAGGTGCCATAGGAAACAAAAATGAAGACTAAAAGACCGAGATAATAGAAATGTTTGGGTGCCAGTGCAGAGATGAAGGTCAAACGTAGCAGAGCTATTTTCTCAGAAGGTAGGCTCAACCCACAGGAGCTGACACCTGCCCCACATTGACACGAAGTTCTGTCCCAACACGCACATGCACAGAGTAAGAGAAAAGGTTATAATTAGAAGAAGCTTCTCACTGCTTCCTCACACAGAACAATCATTTGTAAATATGCATTTCTGTATTGGCTTTTTAGATTTCCAGATAATGCTTAATCTTAATATATTGGCTCTGCTCTACAATCAATTTTCAACATATAATTAAATTTCAGTGATTAATTTCACATCAAATAACATCACATGACTATGTAATTTCTTCATTAAAATAGCATCCTATCATTAATTTGGCATTATCATTAAATTCTCCATATATACATTTTAGGTCAATCAGTAAAAAAAATCTATAAAATCAAGGATGGATGCTCAGTATCCACCCTTTTTCCTCATGGGGACAATCTTAAACAACAGCATTAATGTAGACACAATTAAAGCCTAATTCCATTTATTTGATTCTTCCTCTGTCTCTCATTTAAATTCTATCCTCTTCCTTTCTTCTCTGCATGCCTCACCGTTTTTATGTCTTTTCTTTTGTCTGCATTGCTAAATGTATCTACCCTAGCTTAGTGATGAATAAAAAAGTCACAGAGATGGCATTTGATAGTAAAGACAAACTCCTTAACAATCCAACCTATATTCTATTTTTAAACATATATATATATAGACATATGTGTAATATATTGTAATATTCTTTTTTTAATTTATTTTATCATTTGAAATAGAAATATATCGATACATACATTACCATTCAAATGTTTGGGATTTTTTTTATGTTTGAATCTCTTATGCTCACCAAGGCTCACCTTGCTAAATAAAAGTATTAATTTCTCATTTAAAAAAGTACAACAGAACACCTACAAAAGCAGCATTGAACATTCTCTACATACATTCAATGCAGATAATTTAATGAGAGAATGGCATCCTTGGGATGAGATACCAACTGTCACTCCTTCTCAGAAGAAAAAATATTTTTGATTTTTAATACAGTTTGCATACACATCTTTTGGATTTATCCAATTATTCTGTAATTATTTTTTTCCTCAACCTCTCCACCATCTCTTTTATGTCTTGTTCTACCTTTTGTATGCACACAAGCATACTTACACTCCCTCTTTTCATCTGTGTTTCACACAAAATACTTAAGTCCATTATTCTCACTAACGTACACTGATCCAAAAATCAATTAATTGCCTGGTTGCCGCCTTTATCTGTCGAAATGCACAAACAAACACACAAATGCGCAGTAATTGTGCTTTGTTCTGCCACAGTACTCTGTGCACTCAACTACAACCTTTCAAACAAAAAGCTACTAAAGCAAATTTAAATACTAATTTTAAAAAACATGATGCAATACACAAACAGCGTTCATATACTGTAGTCAAGTCAACTTTATTTATATAGTGCTTTATACAATACAGATTGTGTCAAAGCAGCTTTACAGTGTTAAACAGGAAAAATGTGTGATGATAGTGCAAGAGCACAATAGAAAACAGTTAAAGTCAGTTCATTGTTGATTCAGTGATTTCATCGTCCAGCTCAGTTCAGTTCTCTTCCAATAGTGTCTGTGCAGTCAAGTC